GATTGCATTTCCATTTATTTTCGCAAACAAATTTTGTAAGTGCACAATTTTACCTTTGTTTCTTCAAATTTTGACGGTACCACATTTTCTATATTAGTTTGTGTGTTGCCAATAGTAAATTTTGTCGGTTTCTTCGCAGGATGAGTACTCAGTAAATCCAATGATAAAATCATTAAAATTCGCAACACAATATTCTCTTTAATTCAGTACGAAAGGATTTCTAAAAATATTTTTCAAAGGCAATTTAAAATTTTAAACATACTTATAAAACTAAACTATTAATTTAAGTAATTAGAAAGATTAAAATTACTTTTTGATTAATTAAGTTGATTTACTCTGAAGAACACGATCTACAAAAATTTACCACTGTCGAGCGAATCATTGACTAACAGATTTTGCTCTCGACGGCGACGAACTTACCTAGCGGTTTATGATACTGCATTACTTTCTCTTTCAGTAAGTTTCTCCATATTGAAGATCATTCTGTGTGTCAATGAGTCGACGGCAGAATCAAAACTGAAGTTGACAACTTATAAAATTATTTATTGTAAAAGTAACTTTTTTTTTAATTTTTACGACGAATATGAGTAAGAAATAAATTATTTTATATATTTATTAATATTAATTATTATATTATTAAAAAGTCAAACTATTATTAAGAGTGTAAAGACAAAATATATTTCTGTTTTTAACAACAATATCTATGTATTATCAATACAGAAAGCAATTAGTGTTAATTGTGAAATAAAAAACGTGACGTTGTCGTCCGATATCACTTCGGAAGCATTTAAAAAATAGTTTGAAACGAAGGACGTACATCGCAACTCAATTGATAGAAAATTGTTAGTTTTGTGATAAAACTTGACATAGCATTCCGCGCGAATCATCCTTTAGCTGCAAAAAAATTTAGTATTGTAAAATCGAATGTCTTATTTCTAGGTAGTCGTAATTTCAAGGTATTTCGGGATATTTTTATTTGCATTCTCATTTCGATATTAATTATTAATATCAAAGTTAATTTTTTTGAAGCGCCGATTTATTAGGAATTTTCCGATTTGTATATTTTCCTCACAAAATAACTTCATATTTTATTATCGAGTGCTAAGATATATTTACTGCCACCATTGCTTTACACAATTTATAATAAATTTTTAGTATTTTCTAAATTAGTATTTAAATCATGATTTTAGAGCATTAATACTGCTCTTATGCGTAATAGTATTCAAATAGTGTGTCAAAATTGCGATTTTTGACCATATTAAATCTTGAAAATAAAATTTATTTATATAACATGTACACCCACGGTAATCGATTCTGTCCCTCGAAAATTTTCACAAACTCAAAAGTGACCACTTTTCTACATTAATGCTCACAGTCCATGCACGATTAACGAAATAAAATCGTGCATGGACTATAAGCATTAATGAAGAAAAATGATCACTTCTGAATTTATGAAAATTTCCGAGGGACAGAATCGATTACCGCCGTGGGTGTACAGTCATGGACACATTAGTTGCGACACTTTTTTTTTGTAGGTTTCAAAACACATTAATATTTTGCAAATGCGGACCACGATTGGTATTATATTGTCTCTAGACTGAAGATAGTACATCGTGGTTCGCATTTGCAAAATATTAGTTATCTATATAAAATATATATTATGTATATTAAATATATATTAGCAACCTATAAAAAAAAATGTGTTGCAACCGATGTGTCCACGACTGTACAAGATCGGAAGAGCACACGTCTGAAC